ATCTTGTCCCTTGTATTTTTTATTGTGATTTTGCCACAATTACATTATTTATTAGCTTTTTTACAACCAATTGTTTTTCATTGTTTGGCATGTATGGGCTGATTTAAATTACGTAGCATGATGACAATTGATCCTACTTTCAATTGTAAATTATGTGGTGGCAGCCCAGGCAATTTTAATGAATTTAGAAATTCTGTAGGATAGTTGAGTATGTCATCCTGATTTGTAGCGGTGTCTACAGATTTATAAGTAAAGCATTCTCCTGGAAGTAAACTTTGTATTGTTGCATTAAGATCATCGGCATCTTTGTTTTTCGCCGCCAATATTGCTCGTTCGCTCAGCCAATTGAGATCGTGAAATTGTTGGTTGGTATATCTGGAAATACGCAAGCTCCTCTTTGTGTGTTTGTGCAGCTGCAAAACTATGCGGGAAATGTTATTAACCCGTTCGAGGCATCAACTGCGACATTACCATTTCCAATATTTAGTAACTGCTTTGAAAACACTTTCGCTGTTTCATCTTGTTGCAAAACCACTCGCATGTTTGTTGTTAACTGGAGTTTCTTAACATGACGCCACAGATTTGATGATTTTAAGCTTGCGTTTAGTTCCTCAGCAACACTTGATTGTGGTATATCTGGAAGAGTTTGGCGAAAATCACCTGACAACAAAATCATTGCTCCACCAAAAATATTTTGATTGTCACGTAAATCTTTCAATGTTCTGTCTAGTGCTTCCAGTGACCTCTTGTGGGTAATTGTACATTTATCCCAGATAATCAATTTGCATGTCTGAAGTATCTTGGCCATGGCGCTAGTTTTTCTGATATTGCAAACTGGTATTTCATCGATTTGCATATTAAGAGGTAACTTCAATGCTGAATGTGCAGTTCATTCACCTTCTAACAATGTTGTGCTGCTATTCCTGATGATGCCAATGCTAGAGCTACGTCATTTTGCGATCTGATCTTTGCCAATAGCAATGATAACAGGAATGCTTTTCCAGTACCACCAGGAGCATCAAGAAAAAAAATCCCTCCAGATCCGCTTGTATCAATCATCATATACAATCCTTTGATGATCATTCAACTTTGGAACAGCTGTGCGAACTATTTCGGTCAATGTTTCAATATCATACTGTTGCTCTCTTCTTAACTCATGGTTAAATGCATATCGAACACAACGGTTTGGTGCTGTCAGGCCCAAAATGATAATACTTTATTTGCTATCAATAAACACATATCCTCTATTATGATCAAAGTTTTATTATAAATTTCTGTAGTAATTTCAGAATGATCAGACATGTCATCTCTGTATTTGAGCCACAAATCTTTCAGATTTGAGGGAAAACATGTTGGAATTATAATCGCAAACAATGTACACACATGATGCGGAGATGAGGATATGATGTCGTCCTTGCTTATTATCCCAATGGAATCGTCTCCAAGCAACTGTAACATGTGACATGCTTCACGGTAAGTCGCACATAGATATTCATCAACCGTTTTCAATTGTTGAAATAATGTCGGTCTAGGAACATTAACCAATAATAACCTAAGGTAGTATCACTCATCATTATTTGGATGTACTATATAAATGGGCCCTATAGCACATGTAGCAAACACATTTGGATATCCTTCAACCGGTGTTCTTTTTTACGACGTTGAAACGACTTTGATGCTGAACTGTAATAACAATTCGAATCATTATTTTGTTTAATAATTACAAAACGCGTTGCTAGTTATATGTAGGTTACGTGGTCACCGGAAGTGCTTACTGTTGGATTTTGTAAATAGGTTGTAAACAAGAAATTAGTATATAAGAGTTAGACAAAAGTTAGACAGTCAGTCAAGCTTGGAGTCAAACTTGGAGTCAGACTCGGAGACAGACATAGAGTTAGTCAGACATAGTAATTAGTAAAATGTAGTCTTTGCTGATATGATAACCAAAAGGTTATTAACAAATATTAATTGTAAAAATAGCGAATAATAAAGTATCATTCAAAGAAAGAAGTGTGTTTACAAATTACTATCAAATCGCTGTTCGTCTAAAGGCATTTCACACTACCAGTGGACTCTGGGGAGTCCACATCACAAATATAATATTTCAACAACTATTCAAGTATTCACCGCTCGGGTCCAGCCTATCATTACAATTCCTGGTCGTACTGGTGATCCAGAACATACATCTAAAGGCATCACAAACCAGCCTAGGAGACTTTACAGCATACATCAAAGTATGGGCTAAATCATCTCTTTGACAAATTGAAAATAAACTTGTTAATGTTTTTGGAGGTTAACTGGGGCAAGTGGACTACAGAAGGGTGTCTTTCGTGTATTGGAAAAGAAAAAAATCGCCAAATTGCTCCATTGTTACTTACGTAGCGACCCATCTGATACTCAGAAACTTTATAATTTGTTTTAGCAACAGCGAACATGGCCATGTAATACCTTTGTTAACATATTTGCATATATATTTTATTAACTTGACAGAGTTACAAAATTCTACTTTGATGTGTGCTTGAAAAGCTTCGGATAATATTGGGAAGTACGGCACAATCCATCGGTTGTCAACATAAAAATCTTGTCCTTTTACTTTCACAACTACATATTGCCCACCATCCGCAACTGATTGCCTACGATACAGTGGATAACCATCATTTCCAGTAATGGTTTCAGCAGTTAGATTTCTCGAGTTATTGTTGAAAACTCCGCAAAGTCCATATATCATATGTTTAGTAATTATTGCTTGCACATTTGAATCAACATTTTTATTAGGAATCTGAGCTGATATGACCGAATCAATATCTTCAGGCCTCATTTTGTCAATAAGCCAGGCTAAGATGTGCGCATGAGGAAGACCACCCATTTGCCACTCAACAGAGTACATCCAGCAACGTACTTGGCCATATACATGATTTATTATCAAATTCAACAAATATTTTAAGTTTTGTTTAAAAAATCTGGCAGTAATTCATGACTATCTCCTAGAGTTTGGTCGTGTATCAATTCTTTTTTAATTTCTATCCATTGCGGGTTACATGTGAATGTAATGAATAGATCAGGGCGACCATATTTTCTAACGTATGTCATTGCATCTTGTGCGTACTCGTGCATGTGGCGCGGGCTTCCAATGTAGGTAGCCGGCAAAATTGTCATTTTACCCACATTGTTTGCATTACCATCGGCAATAATAGCATCATGAAGATGGATGTTTTCTTCAGATCGAAGGTGCTGTTGGTTTAAGCGGATGTATGTTAATCGCTCAGTCACAATTTTGACATACATGCCAACAGCGAACTGTTGAAAAAGTCGTTGACACATGAAAATGTGGATTATTTCACAATCATCATCAGCCTATGAATAAAAACTAGCATTAGCAATTTCAATTACTACTTTAGCCCTGTCATAAAATTTCGAATGAACTGCGCATCTAATAATTTCGTTTTGTATACACGTCGGATTACTATTGTCGTAGAACCTATTTTTAATTTCTTCGACTCTTAAAATAAGTGAAATTAATTTTCTCCAAATTTCGGAATAGTATCGATCAATGCATTGTTATTATTATTAAATTTATGAAAATTTTGAATCGACATATTTGATAAAAAAAATTGGATAAATTTTCTATTAAATCGCTATTTTCCATAAATTAATTCACGTACATGGAATTATGTTTCAATGGAAATTAAAAATAAAATTAGCTACTATAAATTCTTCAATTAATTAATAAAAATTTCAAATGTAAAAATTGCTTGCTTATCTCTAGCGATTGAAGGATAAGGGAGGATTGGCAATTTTACTATCAATTAAAAATTTTCACTTACCAGTTCAGGATTCTCGGCGAATTTCTCTTCGCATTTTCACACACAATATTTTTTACTTTTAAATCAATTAATTAATATACTTCACTTTTGCATACAAAATAATGTGAATACAAAAATATTCACTTTTTACTTGCAATCACTTTTGAAATATTTTCTTGAATGTAAATTCTGCGTTAGACCTTTCCAAAATCAATCCCACAATTCTATTATTTGTGATTTATTTTTGGTTCCTAATTCTGAATGATAGAAATCAATGGAATTCTGCGATAGACCTTCCCGAATTCTATCCTACCGACTGCGCCAATTTTGTACTTGGTATTCGAGAATATAATAAAAAAACTTTATTTCTTAAAATTTCAATCTTTTACAAATTACTTCAATTTTATAATATTATAATATAATGAAATATCTGGTATGTAACTGGCAAAAAATATATAGAGTAATCCTCCTTGAGTATAGAGATCTCGCATCATATACAGGTAGAAATATGCTCTATCAGCAAGGTGGTTCTTGTAACTAGATGTAAGGTAAGCAGTGTCGGCGGGATGAATCTCGTAACTATCGTTCAGCTTGCTCTGAATATGAATGCTGAGGAAAGAAAACGACCCAAAATACAAATAATAAATACAAACACTGAATGAAATTAATTGAGTAATTTATTCACAGTATTATTTACAAAATACACACAAACAAAAATCATACGGAAAAACCAGTGAACATGGCAAATTATTAAAGTTTGCATACAGATTATTATATTCACATTATTTCCTACTTAATTATTGCAGGCATTATACAGAAGAGAAAAGCCACAGGGAATCAAAAGTTCATGTACGGGGTGTGATGAAGATTGTGAGTGTAGTCGGTTTGCATATACAGCAATTCATTTTATGGATTTTGCTACAAACCAAGCCAAACTACTAATACATCACAGGTAAAATATAATTTTATTGATTTTTAATTTAATACCATGTGGACATGGGAGACTGACATTATAATACCGCATCTATTCATAGTCGTCTTGCCAAGTTAGTCGGACATTTGCACAGTACTTTACTAAAACATTTTGTACTTCTTTTGCGTGGTATTTGTCGCATAGAATGAAGAGATTTTGATGTGTCTGTAGTGCTGTTTCGCCATGAATCTGGTATAATATGTCCATCTTCTTCACTATCTAATGCTTCTTCTGGACAATAAAATAGTTGAGATGAGCAACTACTGCGCAAAATATTGTGCATTGAGTATCATAATTTCGGTTATATCCTTGGCTGCTAAGAATTTATGCAGGAACACTTGAACATTATTCAAAACTTTATATATATCGAAGTCCTTTGATCAGCTTAAAAAAACATTCTGTGTTATCGCCGTTATTTCAATTTTGTGAGCCGTTTCAGAGGGAGAAATAGTGACCTTCACTGTACTTTTTCTGAAGAGGTACTAAAGCAGGTATAGCTGGTATTAATTTTGGTTTTGAGTTTGTGTTTTCTCTTTTCTTTAAATAGTTCAGTAGTGTTGGACAGTTTTTATAGTTGGCTGAATGAGATCCATTGCAGTTGCAGAATGTTGGATTGGGGGTATCATTTTCCTTAGACACCTCAGGCCAATTTGATGAATCTCCGTTCACTTTACTGCACATATAATGGGCACTGATCACTTTTTGGATTCTTTTTCGGGTTTTAGAATTATAATATACACGCAAATATTATATGTTATTCCGTTTTTTGTCGAATTCATCTGAATAACTTTGACTAACTCCAATTGTGATTTTTTGAGATCCGCTTTGATGTCCGTTGGAGTGGCCCCTCAAAATCAGTATTTCAGATTGCGCCAATTTAGTCGTCACTCGTATTTTGCGGGAGTTTTGTCTTTCTGACAACGTTTTTAGATGTTGCTGCTTTGGATGATAAAGTAGCTCTTTTCTTTGTACTCCCTTCGAAGTTATTTTTCTGTGCCCTTTTTTTGATGATTGCATTGGCGGTTTCCATTA